CATATTTTCTTTTATAAAAAAAATCACAGTATCATAACAAAATACACATATAAACCAAAATCGATTCCCAATTGAGCAGGAAATAGAATTAAGTTCACAATTGACCACGGAATAGAATTAAATGACTAAATCAATTTGAAATCACGTTAAAACAGAAAAGTGGAAGATGAAGGAAGAAAAATACATGGTAGATGCAATGCCGTAAAGAAAAGAAATAGAGGCAGATACAGTGTAGAGGAATGGTCTTACAGTCATGTTTTATAGAAGAATGAGAGAGGAGCAGAGGGATTAGAAAGGATGAAATTGTTTCAAAGCAAATTATAAATGGTTTAGAGATAAATTGAAACTTTTACAAGTCAAGTAGATAAAATGTAATAATTATTCCAATTTAAGATTTAGTGAAAAGTAGAGATAAATTAAAACTTTCCAAGGCAAGTAGATAAAAGATCCATAAGTAATTAATTATTCCAATTTAGGGTTTATGGAAAAGAATTAAATAATATACCGTAAATGTTTTTCTTTTTTTGTTGTAATCATGCTTTTTGGAATCATGCTTTTTGAGTTGGAATGAGAAAACAATGATGTTTTGGCTGTCAAAATGAATGACAATTCTAATTAGGGTAAATGAATAGGTTAAGTAATGATTAGACGTATGAAAATACTTAAGAAACACTAAATCAGCTTGTTAAATAGTTTGAGTTAGGATAATAAAGTAATAATAGCATTGTATAACTTTATTATGTTAAAAGTGGATGATAGATACAATTATGTTATAATATGATTGAAATTTTTATTTAATGAAACTATTTTATTAAATCATGAATATATTAAAATAAATTTAAATTTAATATGTTTTTATGAATTTAATATATTTTTATGAATTTGCTTCCATTCTTTAATAAATTTTATGAATAACATCCCGCTTCAGGAATCAGAAGTAAGAAAATTAATATCTCTTACTATTTATTTTTTAATCAAATTAGAATAAATTTTGGAACCATATGCATGCATTAAGGGAGAAAAACTATCACAAATTAAAAAAAAAAACACAACTCAAAGTTCAAACCTAAAAATATAATTAAGTGACTAAATCAATTCGAAATCATGGTAAAATTTTAATTTATCTCTACTTTTCACTAAATCCTAAATTGGAATAATTATTTATATACTGAAATTTTATCTACTTACCTTAGGAATGTTTTAATTTATCTCTAAACCCTACTAGATTTGTAATTTGCTTTAAAAATACCATTCCTCTACACTACATCTGCCTCTATTTCTTTTCTTTACAACATTGCATCTTCCAGTATTGTTCTTCTTTCATCTTCCACTTTTTTGTTTTACCATGATTTCAAATTGATTTAATCACTTAATTCTATTTCGTGTTCACAGGTTTATGTGTATTTTGTTATGGTACTATGATTTTTTTAAAAGAAAATATGATAAATTTGAACACTGATAGTGAATTTAGATTTAGAATTTGAGTTCTTGAATGATGTTTTTTTAAAAATGTGTATTTGATTAAAAAGTAGATGGTAAGGATATTAATTTTCATACTTTTAGGTTGATGCCTTAAGTGGGATGTTATTCATTTTATATGAAGACTATGAGTTGTAAGTTTTAAATAAATTAAAAGTTTAATCATCTTAAAATTACTTATTTATTTTTACTGTCTATACAATATATTTTCATGCATATGCCAAAGAGTTTGATGGTGTTTTGATGCATTATAAGATACTGATGGCTTTGGTTTCTACACTAATGAAACGTATACTATTGGGAAAATTGGTTTTCTAGCGGCAATCTGTTGTATTTCATCAGCATGTGTTGTTTTTATAACTTGCTTATACAAATCCATTTTTAGCGATAGTTGAACAATTAGTGTGTTTTAACAGGTTGATCGAATTTTATACATATTTATTTATGTTATTTTCTAATTATATTTCCTTTTGATTGTCATGTTCAGGTGACAAATAAATTATTGATGAAGTTTGATACATATCAGTTTGATCGGTTTGTTTAAGATATCAATTTGAGGGGTATAACAGCTATTTAAATATAATTAATAATATTAATATTTTAATTTGTACCAAAAAATATATATATTATATTATTATAATAATGTTTATAATGAAGATATAATTGATCAAAATACCAACGGACACAGAAGTAAGTGAATTGATCAAAATATCAACCGACACGACAGAAAGTGAAATATGAAAGCAAATTTTTATCAATTTGTATTTATTTATGATGTTCTTTTATAAAAATATATAATATATTAACCACCATTACAAACACTATTAAAATATAATTAATATCATTTAAATTTTATTTTATTAAAATATTTTAATATTATGTTTTACAGTTTATATTATACACTCATGATTTTAAATTTATGATAATATATTAATTAATTTGTACATGATTTTTAAAACTAATAAAGTTTCTCTCTTTTTGTATAAATGATTTATTCTAATTTAAACTTTTTTCTATAAGTTTTTTGGTTCAAATTGTTGTTAAATGTTAATTTTTTAATTAATGAGTAAACTATATATAGTAACATTTAATGGACCTATTAATATTATTTAGTTTGAGTTTTCCGTGTTTATATAATATTATTGTGTTTCTAAATGATGTGTTGGGCTACTATGATTTTTATTATGCTCTTCCCAATCTTTATCTATACCAGTATAAAAAATAAAAACATATTTATATAATTTTTAAATAAAATTATTTTAAAATAATCAAGATAACGTAAATATAAATAATTTAAAATTACTACAATAATAAGTTATTTATCAAACAATTTATTTATCAAGTTACTTTAAATATTAAAATTATACCAAATCACACCTTATTATTTTTTTAGATGGAAAAAAATACTTGACAATTATAGATTTTTTAAAGAAGGTCATATATTAAACCTAACATATTATATATAGTCAATATTTAGATTTTTATAAGCAATTTTCATATAAAGTAATGTATATTATATCATTTTCATTTCAAACATTTTAAATACGAGAGAAATGTGTATCACCCAAAAATAGATTAATGCAATTGTTTCACAATGGGTAAGGATTGGAAAAGGCATAAAAATGCTATGAATAGATCCAATTATCTATATTAGGAAATCAAATTTAAGATACATCGACGTTTGATTGAATAGTTTTATATTAAAATAAGTTTTAGTTCAGGAGTAAAAGAAAACTTAATATTTATAATATATTTTAATTTAGTATTAAAAATATGCAAATTAAAATTACATTTATTTACTTTAAAAATGTATTTAGTATGACAAAATGGTAGTATTTATACTATAAAAAATATTATAAATATATGATTTAATAAAAAAATGTGAGAAAATTATGATTGATGAATGCAAATTCTTTAATGAAAAACACACATTATCATTCCTTTTTTATTTCAAAACATCACCAAAGTAATGTTAATTAATGTTTAAAACTATCCGGTGAAGTTGTTATTCTTTCTCTATGAGTAATTATTAAAATATATATTTTAATCTGATCGAGACTATTGAATTTGTATATATTTTATATACATATCTTAACCATCATTATATATTATTTTTATAAAGGAAAATATGTTATAAATATTTTTATAAACCGGAAAAAATTCAATTGTTGCTACAATTATTTTTATAAACAGGAATAAGTTATAAAAAAAATTTATAAATTGATAAAAGCCAAATGTTGATACACTTATTTTTATAAGCGGAACTAAATTATAAATATTTTTATAAACGGAAAAAAGTTACTATTGATACAATAATTTTATAAATGGGAAGAAATTACAAATGTACTTAAACGGAAAAAAGTTGACTGTTGATACAATTATTTTTATAAACAAAAATAAATTACAAATATTTTTATTAATGGACACACAGGTTCTAAAATCTTGAACCGGTTTGCAAAACCATGATCGCAGGGTGGAGAGTACTCGCTGGCACTGCACCTGTTATAAACAAGAAAAAGTCAAATATTGATACAATTAAATTAATATTTATATGAAAAATCATAATTTAAGATATTTTTTTCTTTTAATTCATACATATTTTTATATATATTTCTTATCTATAACTGTATAATATTTATATCGACTTTGCATGACCCGTGCGAACGCACAGGTAGATGACTATTTAATTATTTTCTTAATTTTTTTAGTAAAATATACATTTCTGATAGGTCGACACTAATTAATTTGTATATCCTTTATATACATTTTTTAACCATTATTATACTATATTTATTTATTTATTAATTTATATATATATATATATATATATATATATATATATATATATATATATATATATATATATATATATATATATATATATATATATATATATATATATATATATATATATATATATATATATATATATATATATATATATATATATGTGTGTGTGTCTGAACAGTATTACATCATATACACATGTTCTTTTATATAATTTTTATGTATAATAATCATTGCAACTTTTTTTCTTTTAATTCGTTTATATTTTTATATATATTTTTTAACTTTAACTATATAATATTAATTTAATATTTATATTCACATTGTGTGACTCGTGCAAACACACGAGTCATTTACTAGTTAATAATATTATCTGTCACAAAATATTTAAAATTACGAAATTAAAAATATGCAAAATACAAATTAAACAATTAACTAATTCTTCCTCTATTTTTTTTAATTGTTATTTATTTACTTTTTACATATCCGGTTAGTAATTATTGTTACTTCTAAGCATTAATTTTTCTTTTAATTATTATTTCCTTAAGTTTTTATTATTTTAATTTATATTTTCTCTCTTATAATAAATAATTAGAGATAATTTTAATAAAATTATCACTAACACTCTTTTGAAATTTAAAAGGGACAATTAAAAAACACATAATTGTTTTACAAAAGTAGGGTAAAAGATTACAAAATGGATTTATCCCACTTGCACAAAAAAGTCAACTACCATGGCTACGAAACCTTCTCTCTCCACCACCACCACTACCACCACCATGCCTGAAACTCTGTCGTTTGAAATACATCCGGAAGTGGACCCAAAACACGTTTCCGAGACTCTAAAATTTGCTATGCTTATGAATATTGGCGCTCTCGTTCCTGAAAACTGCAACACCGACGGTTTTTTCAACTCTTTCCTTCAGAATTTCATCAAAGTAGATCAAATCCAACTTGGTCGAATCTCTTGCACTGTTATTGCCAAAACACCTATCAATGTAACCTCATTTCCTCTCTTTTTTTCAAAAAAAATTATATCAATTTTGCGTGACCTGTACGAACGCACGAATAAATGACTACTTAATTATTTTCTTAATTTTTTTAATAAAATATTTATTTCCGATAGATCGACACTATTTAATTTTTATATCTTTTATATACATTTTTTAACAATTACTATACTATATTTATTTTTATATTTATTTTGTACCGTAGGCTGTGCTGTAGGCCACCTTGCCACCTTCAAGATCACCCTTTCTATGATGTCCATGGCAATACTAGCTTGTGTTTTCTTTCATGTTTGCAACCTTTTCACCATGTGTTAGTTACTATGAAGCTTCTAGTTGTGGTTTTGCAATGACCACACATCATAGTCACACTACAATTACATATGTTTCCTTTAACTATATTAGAATATTTTCTTTCTTATGTGAAAATGTCTCAAAAAGAAAGCATACAATTTTGTGTCTTTAGTTAGTATGAAGATGTATCATATCGAGATGACAATTTTATCTATAGTTGGAAAGAAGCATCAAAGATGTATCTGAGAAGTACTGGTGGAAATATTTTAAAATGAATTAAATAATATTTTGGATTATTGAGAATCGGAAAACAAGAGAGAATCAGACGAGGAAATAGCTCTATATTTTCTTAAGTTTAAGTTACAAACTAGAATCCACCTTTACACTAGTTCTAAGTCGAGTACATCATAAGCTATTTAACCCTAATCACATACAATCATAACTAACTGCTGTAACTGAATTTTGGTGGTTGCTACAACTGATTTCTTAAGCTTTTACTGAGAATACTTGTGATACAAGCAACTTTGGACCATCATGCTCATTTTTCGTATGATGCACCAACTTGTCTTCTAAGTCTTGATCCTCATTTTCTTTGTCATTCAACATCCTCCCACATGCTTGACCATGGTAAATGTTTATCATTGCAAGCTTGGACACAAAAGAATTGAACTATAGAGGAGCTAAGGCGTTGGTTAGAAAATCTTATAACTGTTCTTGTATAATGTTCTTGTGTATATATAGGAAGAAGTTTTAACACACCCTTTTGAACCTTTTCTCTTACAAAATGGCAATCTACTTCTAAATGCTTTTTTCTTTCATGAAGAACAGGATTTGATGCAATGTGAATTGCACTTTGGGACTCACAATTTTGTCTATAGTTGGAAAGAAGTATTGAAGATGTATCTGAGAAGTACTTGTGGAAATATTGTAAAATGAACTGAGAAATATTTTGGATACTTTCTGGGTATATGTCATAAAGTATCGAATGCATATCACTATCATATAAGTTTTGCACCGATACTTTGACCCTTTTGAAGTATATGTGTTTCATATATGATAGATAAATAGGATAGAGTTCAACCCTTTAGAATGCTTCCTTATGCTGTCTGAAGAATTGCGATGATTTATCCTCAGCTGCATTTTGAAACAGCAGAGCAAAGCTGAAAAAATTAAAAAATTAAAAAGCAAATAGCTACTTCATTTTCTTAGCATCCCCTCTTAGAATTGCTTTGTGATCTGGTTTAGTGTTATTAGGACCTCAATCTTTTAATAGGATGGCAGCATCCATAAAGAATTGTGATTGGTGGTTCTACTTTTTAGTTCTTTAGTTTCTTACTTTCTTAGGAAGGACTTGAAAAATATAGTCTGACACTCCTATGATCTAGTTGATGGGAATGATTTCATAGTTACTAAATAAGTAATATTGGTAATCTGCATTAGCATTTTCCAACTGTCAGGACGTCGACTCTCAAGGGTGGTGATATGATTAGTGGGTTGGTTCTTCCCCTTGATAGTTAGTGAGAATTGTTAGAATTAATTTGTATTTAATTTGATATTAGTTTATATTTAGGAATATCTTTTAGATTGTTTATATCTTTGTTAAAAGATATAAATCTTAGATCTTGTTATATCTTTGTAGAAGATATATTTTAGATTTAATTTGTGTGTATAAATAGCCTAGTGGGGTAGGTTATTGTAATTCATTGTAAATCCTTATTTTGAAGCTATCAGTAAATATTTCTTTTGCCTTTTATCTTCCTTGTGCTCCAAAAATTGGTATCTAGAGCTCCTGGTTAGAAACTCTGGAATTTTGGAAACATTGATTTTTCATTGAGTTTCTGCGTAAATTGCACAAGGTAGAAGATGAACGAAAACGACGATATTCATTCCAAGCTTCCAGTATTTGATGGCAAAAACTGGAATCGTTGGAAGATCCAGATGCACGTGTTATTTGGTTCTCAAGATGTGTTAGATCTTGTCACTGATGGCTATAACCTGTTAGAAGCAGACGCAACAGAGGCCCAGAAGATAACATAGAAGGCGCTGAGGAAGAAAGATCAGAAAGCGTTGTTCTACATCTATCAATGTGTGGATGTGAATGTGTTTGAGAAGATTGTTGATTCTGAAACAACAAAGGCTGCGTGGGACACACTGGTCAGATGTTACGGTGGTAACGCATCAGTGAAGAAGGTGAAGCTTCAGTCTCTCAGAAAGAAATATGAGAATCTCAACATGAAGGACAACGAGAAGGTTTCTGAATATATCTCTAGAGTGATTCTGATTACTAATGAGATGAAAGCTTGTGGAGAAACTCTGTCTGAACAAGTAATTAAGGAGAAGATCTTGAGATCTTTAACTTCTCAGTTTTATTATATTGTGGTAGCAATTGAACATTCCAAATATCTGAGCACCATGAGAGTTAAAGAGCTGTAAAGTAGTCTAGAGGCGCATGAGTTGCGTATGACTGCGAGAACTTCTGAGAGGTAAGTAGAGCAGCGGGCTCTGAAAATAACTTCTGGTAAGAAGCATCAGAAGCAGACTTGGTCAGAAGCCAGGAAGAAAACTAATGGTGGTCAAAAGTCAGAAGCTTCAAACTCTGATAGGCAGAAGAATGTCTAGAGGGGAAAGGAGAAATCTGACAAGAAGAATGTTCAGTGTTACTGTTGCATGAACTTTGGTCATTATGCCAAAGATTGTTGGTCAAACAAAGAAAGGAAGTCAAAAGAAGCAAATGTAGCTAGAGGAGATTCAGATGATGAACCTGTGCTATTTATGGCTTATGAATCTGTTGTGGAACCAATGAAATTGTCATTTTCTGATTCTGAAGGGGAAGAAGAATATGACTCTAAATATTCTAAAGGAGTGATTTTGTATGAGTCAGAATCAGAATATAACTCTAAGTCAGAATTAGAAGATGGCGCTGAAGATTTTGAAGATGAGTCATATTCTGAGGTTTCTGAAGACGAGTTAGAGTCAGAAGATGACTCTGATGCTGAAGACAAGTCAGAATACGAAGGTGATTTTGAAGGAGATTTAACTTCTGAAGAAGAGTCAGAAGATGATGACTCTGGAAACTCTGAAGGTGAGTCAGATGGTGAATCTGATTCTGATCCAGATTTTGATGATGATCCAGAATTTGGTGGTTATCATGCTTCTAGAAGGGAAAACTCTAAAGACGTAGGTTCTAGAGGACAAGCTTCTAAAGATGATCATGTTTCTGGTAGAAATCATGATTCTGAAAGTGGAACTTCTGAAGGAGGAGCTTCTGAAGGAAATTCATCCTTTGACAATGATCATGATTCTGAAAGAGGAACTTTTGAAGGCAGAGGTGATACAACTTCTGAAAATGGTATTTCTGAAAGTAGTGGCTCTGACTTCGATGGTGATCCAGACTCTGAAGACAGTCAAGGTTCTGGAGAAAGTCAAAACTCTGAAGTAAGATCTTCTGAAGGGGGAAATTTTGGTGTCCAAGGTTCTGAAGGTCCATTATAAGAAGAGGTGTACGTTTCACAACCTCCTGGATTTGATAAAAAGACTCAAGAAGGGATGGTGTTCAAATTACACAAAGTATTGTATGGATTGAAGCAAGCGCCCAAAGATTGGAACACTACAACATTTAGGCTCTCCAGCAACAATTGGAAAACGTTACCAGAACTCTGAAAATCGTTGCCTAAAACAATAGGGGACGTTTTCTAGGCGTCTCCTGTGCGAGTGTTGCCTATTGTTTGAGGCGACGTTTTTTTATGTTTTTTGGGAACGCTTTTGAAAAACGTCGCCTATAGTAAAGGAATAGGGGATGATTATTTACGACCTCTGAGACAACGTTTTTTAAGCGTTGCGTTGCCAAATTCAGCTACAATTAACAATCGTTGCCTTAAACCTGAATCAGGAAGATCTTTTTTTAAGTGTAGCCATAGCTTATAGGTTGTTGTTTTATAGTGTCCACATAAAATATACAATTTTGAAATTATTATCAAAATAATATAGTCAATAATAATTGGCTTCAAAAATAATATTGATTATATAACTTAAACCATACATCCATAAAAGTTGTAATATAATAAAATCGAGTTCAAACTTTAATTCAAGATATAGTATATAGAGTACACAAAATGCCTAACGTAACAATATTACTTTTAATACTTTGAAGTATGACCCTAGTAAAATAACTAAAAACATAGTTCATCAAAAGAACAAAAATCATATTTCAAGTTTAATGCTTTCAACTACAAGCCAAAAAAAAAACATCATCCAACTCATTCAAGTTTGTCTTCTAGAAGTAAAGCATCCAGATCGTCCTCTTGAAATTCGTTAGATATGTCATCCTCCATAAATTCTTCATCTACGTCGTCCTCTTGAAATTCACCATCTATATCCTCCTCTTGAAATTCATCATCTAGATCTATGTCGTCCTCTTGAAATTCGTCATCTACGTCGTCCTCTTGAATTTTATCATTTAGGTCGTCCTCTTGAATTTTATCATTTATGTCGTCCTCTTGAATTTCATCATTTATATCGTCCTTTTCAACATCTTCATTGATACATTGTTGCATAAGAAAATAAAATAAAACACATTAACCATAAGTATTTTTGGTCCAAAGGACAATTAAGACATCAACAAGAATTAAACCTCGCACAAATAAAAACTAAACCAATGAGCAAAACACATTGTTTATACTCTTCACATCTCATGGATGTGAATTAATTATGAAGGTTTTTAATGGATGTGAATTTTCGTTCTAAACTGTAATAGGTGACATGAGCTTACTAGCAAATAAATCAATTATGAAAACCATTCTGTTTTTGGCTCACTATTCAGGACTTACAATAGCCTTTAACTGTATGTATGTATGTATAACTTGTGCTATCCTTTTATGTTTATTTTTTGGAGAAAATGAACTCTGATGAACACTCTTACTTGTTGTATCTTCTTTGGTGTTCAGTATCATATGGATAAATTTACAGCATACATAGTGAGTGTTATCAAACAAGGGGGTCCCATAATCTTATCCCAGGCAAGTATGTTTGTGAAATATCAATGAAAGCTCGCACAAATAAAACAGTTTCAGCCACTTCTAGGTGTTGTCACTACTTAAACAATTTCAACCACTTACTTTATTCTAGGTGTTGTCACTACTTGCAAATTTTTGCATACATTAACAACCATTTTGATACTATAACATAATTAGAAAAATATAAATCAATAATATTGGTATATATGGTTACCTTTCCATGACATGGAGCATGAGTTGATGTAGATGAATGCATTTGCGGTCTTATATCCTTTGGGGAACTATTAGCATCTCCATGAGATAATCCTAACAAATCTTCAATTGATTCTATATTAATTTGAGGATTGCATTGTTGTATTACGGTCTTAAAAGCATTTTGCAATCTATCACTCTTATTTTGAAACTTGTCCCTTAATGTAGAGACCTCTTCACTGTGGGCTTGTTTCAAAGCATTAATCTCTGCCTTTCTCTTTAAGGAAGTTTTAGTTATGTTTCTCCCATAACAGCGTACCCTGCCTGGACACTCCTTTCCAAAAAAAACTTTAAAAGCTTTTGTATCACTTTCCTCCTTTTCAACCATTTCTTGAAGTTGGGACTAACATAAATTATAAAAAAAAAATATTAGATATACTCTACAGATGCAGAAGTAGCTTCCAACATCCGGGTTGCAGGATTATAATTATCCTTGATCTTTGGAACTCCCGGTATACTCTGATGGACAGTCAAGTCAATTAGATATAAATTTCAACAATTCAGGCAAAGGAGTGATGACTAAGGAACAATTTTTTGTGAATGTACATTGCAAGAAAAGAACTTTAGCAAATAAGATAATCACATGGATCTGTCCAGAATCTAAAACACTGAGTACTTCGCTTCGGGTCTGACCATACCTGAAAATATTCAATCAGTCTATTTGAATGATGGCCTAGCATTCCATTATAAATGATCTTGCCTCTAGATTTCATTAGAATCAACTGCATGAAAAAAACTCATTTTTATTTGTTGATCCGTATGTTATCCGTACACAAATATACATCAGAAGGTACTATTGACTACCTCATCAAAAGTTTCAAATATATCGATGCTTGGCTGATGTATGGTGCAAACTATGGTCCTACCAGTGCCAACAACATTCTTCACTGCACGCATAACTACAGCAGCAACTCGGGCATCCAAACCAGATGTAGGTTCATCCATAAAAATTATTGAAGGATTGGATACAAGCTCTACTGCTATAGTTAGCCTTTTACGTTGCTCGGTAGATAAGCCACTTTGACCAGCGATACCAACTAAGTTATCCTTTATATCATCAAGTTCAATTGTTTCAAGGACTTCTTCAACAAATATCTGCAGAACAGATACACACATAAAGTTACAAAAAGCATCTTTTATGTGAAAATGACAGACAAAGCACGGTTCAAATCCCATACCCCTTTTGTAGTTGAATCAATCTCGCTTGGAAACCGCAACCAAGATGAGTATCGAACAGATTCTTCAACTGTTATATATGGAGAATGTATGTCGTTCTGCTCACAGTAACCTGAAACTCTTGCAAATGTCTTTTGAACTTTAGGGTACCCTCCAATTCTTATATCTCCTTCAATGATACCTCCAGTTTTTCTTCCTGAAAGCACGTCCATGAGTGTTGTCTTTCCTGCTCCACTGACTCCCATCAAAGTAGTAAGGATTCCTGGCCTAAATGCTCCCGTGATATCGCAGAGCAATTGTAAAATTTTCTCATTCGAACCATGCTTTTTCATCTCCTGCTCAGAAGAAGAGTAAATTTCTTAATTGACAACCTTGTCAACAATTTACATAATCATATTACAACAATAACGTGATTATAAAATTTACCGGAGGAGTGTCAACAAAATACTGGACATCCTTAAATGCTATTGACAGTGGCAAAAAGGGCAAGACCATTTTCCCTGCATAACCAACCATGCGAAAGATACCAAAAGTCGTTACTATATGTTTGAAAGAAAGAATTCATCTGTGAAATAAGTTGCCATAAAGTATCTCTTTTCTACCTGTGCTTTGAGCTTCCTTCGATGTGTGGGTAATATCAACTGCTACTGACTTATTTTTTAATTCCACTTCATTGCTTCTTTCTCCTCCTTTTAGTTGAGGCAGCCTCTTTTTCGAAACTAAAGCTCGAGATTGCTTTGGCTCTGAATGCATTTCCCATCAAATCAGTGGATTGAGCAAAATAAAAACAATTGTTTGATATTTTTCCTTGTAATATCATGGATAGGACTCACATTTTAAGTAAGTTAATGCTACTACAAATAGGATATCAAATACTACTGCGAAACCAAGTAATGCTGCAATTGATATCCAGAAAAAGTTGCTATCAAAGTCTAAACCACGACTCTTGAGAACCTCTCTTCCAACGGTGATGTTTCCCTCTTGAATCTGAAAAATAATGATGATGAAAATAACGATAGTAAATATAAATATATAACTGGAGATTCATGTTGATACACCATCTGTGTAAAAAGTTTTATACTGTAAACAAATTACAACCAGTTATATGCGTGACTTCAGTAGTATTTAGAATAAACGTCAAACATTTGTAATGATCTTCCGATTATGATTCATTGACAATATAAAAAATCATCATCCTGACAATGTATATGAATTAGATCCATATAAACGTATATTATGACCTATCATGAAACCAAATAAATTATCTTAGAAGATACCTTTTGCCAGTGAGGAGCAAGAAATTCATTGAGTGTTATTCCTATTTCCCCATATGACATGGGAGAAAGCCAAAAACCTCACCTCAACCACTTTGGTAATGATGCTGCAGAGAATAAACTCCATGATGAGTAACTTGGTAATTAGTAATTTAGTACTACCACATGTTATAACTGAGACGATATAAAGCGGCTTACGTCGAGGAAGAATAAAGCCTCCAAACAAGAACATGAGTACTAAGACCAAAGAACCAACAGTTGTAGCTGCAACATCAGTTTTAAAAACTGCAGCAAGGGAACGACACATAGAGGTTGATGACATGTGCATAGCGATAAGCAAAAGGAACTGGCGGAGGAACCTGATTCAATAATAAATATATAAGAAAAAACTTGCAAAAGAAAAGAGAAAAAGTTTGACTATACTTACATATACACGAGTTACAGACCTTGTTATTTCTGGGCTGTAGCCTATAACATAATATGTTATTGATGTCCAAACAAGAGAATCCAGGACTGAAAATGGAATCTTTAGTATGGCAACTGGAAGACAGTAAGCCCAAGCTGGATAGAGATAGAATGCTTTCTGCTTATAAACAACGGGTAGTCTAGTAATAGTCATTATCAACTCGGCAACTCCATTTGTCATTAGGCGTACAAGTGTATAGTACAGTGAACCTAATAAATAGTTTGATCCTAACAAGTCCACGTCAAGTTGTGTGCGCAAAAAGACCGTCATTATTATGATTGCAGTGATTGTAAGCTGCAAAACAAGCGAAAAAAGAAGCAAGTTAGATTTTATATGTTCAAGTACGACTTAGCTGAGTTGAATTGAACTTGAATTTGATAGTAACCTGCATAGTTTTGAATATATAGATAAACGAGTTTCGTTTCATGAGAAGAATCTCCCTCTTCATACAAGCTTCAAACAAATCCCATTTTCATAAGGAGTACTTTCTATATGATAAAGAACTTTCATGGGATTGAGATTTATCATATGGTTGTGAGAGCTCATCATCTAACATTCTTCCCTAGTAGCTTGTTTTGAAAATTTGAGAGAACTCATCCACTGAAACATAACTGTAAGGAATATCCGTGCGGTACCAGTATTGCCTTTGATCCTTCTTAGAGGTTACCTGCGCGCGCATGAAATTTGTAATTCATGAAACTATGAGTAAAATCACTTGAACTTTGGCGCAATGGTAAGGGACACAGTTTCTATTCCTACCTCTTGAAGAAAGTCTGCCACTCCTTTTCTTTCAGGGCACCAGAAACTGCAATCCTTAAAGAACTGGAGTGCTTGACTGCAGGGGCCATGGTATACTATCTTCCCCTCTGCCATCAATATAAGATCATCAAACAACTCAAAGGTTTCTGGTGCTGGTTGGAGGAGTGAAAGCACTGCTGTTGCATCATTGATGTGCACCAATTGCTGGAGACATGTAACTATTTGAAAAGTAGTGGAGCTGTCTAAGCCAGTTGATATTTCATCCATAAAAAGTGCTTTTATGGGACCTACAATCATCTCTCCTGCAATACGATTTGGAAAAAAAGATTAAGTATATATATTAAGAAGAAATATCTATGAAGAATATTTCGTATCTTTGCAGTCCAACCACAAGTATCATATAGCCTTAATTTTCACTGCTCTAGTAAAGAGGCAACACTTCTCGTGTATATTCAGTCAAGAGAAGTAACTTGCAAGTACTTTAAGTACTTACAAGTTCTAAGGAGATCATCGACTCTTGAATTTTCCTCTTTGCAACTCTTAAAATTTGACCTAACTCTATCTTACTGTAACAATGAAAATATTAGTAGCGCTTATACACACAAAAACCAAAACTCACACAAACTCATCACCTTTAACCCAACAGTGAATTCTAGACGACAATAATATCATAACCGTAGCAGAAAACAATGCGAAGACAAAAAGAAGTGGGAAGAATAAGTTTCCTCTTCCATCCTTACCACACTCCAAATCACGCAGACTTGAGACTTCAGCCTTCCGCTCCGATCGCAGCCGCGAGTCCACAATGCACCAGAAACAACACGCGACGCTGACAAACGCCCTGTAGCACCGAGAACCGTCACTAAAGTAAACCACCAAGGCGAACTCCGAGATCCACAGTCCATACCTTCTGCCACAGAACCAACACGATCGCAAACCCCTCCATCTAGATCCAGTGTAACAACAACCCGTAACCCACC